CTAAGTAGAGAGAAGATGACCTTGTTAAGCAACAAATGTGGATTTTATTTTGTCTCTTGGGTGGATGAGCTAAGTTTTGATGAAAATATTCTTTGAAAGTTTGTCACATGTTGATGCGCAACCAGTTTTAATGAATGCATAAATAAATAAAAAATCAATGAAATGAAATGCAATAATATGGACTAAATTGATTTGTGAACCAAAAGATTAAACATCATATTGATTGGTTTGGAACTTTAAGGAATTTTTAAAAACAAATTCAAAGATAGTTGTTAGGGGTAAGTTTGGAATGAAGATTGCTAATTTTTCAACACATTAAATACTTAGTTTTTTTTTTATAGAATAAGATTTCATTCATAAGTCAAAATAGGCATACAAAGATTGGCACGAATATAATAGCCTCATTAAAACCTTCCTAGGAAAACTACTTGGGACAAACCCGATAGTAGGAAAGAGTACCACACAAGCCAAGGACTAACAAGAAAGTTTGACCCAAACCACAAAAGACCGTTACAAGAATAGAAAAAAAAAACCAACTAAACACCGACACAGTAGACCCATAAAGAGAACCAAACCGCATCGCATCCCAACTGTCAAAAGAAGCATTTTATGAGAAAAACTCATAGTCCTTTGACCGCCCACGAATTGCCAAAAACACATTAAGGACGGAAACCCAAAAGAGCACATGGAGGAAGAGTACAAAAACAATAACAAGAGAGGCCCCTAAAAAGCACCACAACTCAGCTTAGAACCTGACAAAGAAACTTCTATGACCAAACATAGATCTTCAGGCGGTGCAAGGTCAAAATCAAAGACAAAATGCCTAATAGGGCATACCACCAACGTCGCTGCTACTATCATTGTCGAAATAGAGACAAAAAATCATCTACCAAGTATCATAACTCTCCCGAAGAGAGACCCAATCTAGTGTCACTATTATTGCCGCCACTGAGACAAAGACACCACCAGTCACCTAAAATACTGCAAAAACAACCAAACAAAACAAACACACAAACAGACCTAGATCCAAACAGATCAAGGCTAAAAATCCAAAATCCAAGTAGATCTGGGGAGGAGAAGAGGAAGGAGAGAGAGGGGCTAACAAGAGCCCCTAGGAAAGTGGAAAGAGAGGGAGAGAAGATGAGAGAGAGGAAAAAAGATAGGAGAAGATGGGAAGAGGGGCAGTGACCACCTCCCCTAGCTTAGGGTCAGCAATACTTAGTTTTATTTAATATACAAAGCGATAGTCTAAACTATAAGGAGAATGGGGGTTTCACACTACCAAAGTGCCAAGGGGGTTCGAATATGAGACCATTAGTCTATAAATCAACTCTTTTTTTTCATTGGGCTAGGCCTCATTAGCCATTAATACTTAGTTGTGTTAAAATTGGCATACACTTTTAATACAATGAATGAGAAGGTCTAATGGCTAAATTTTATTGTTTTGTTGGACATTGTACCCAAAAAAATTTGTTATTAGAGAGATCTTATTGTTAGAAACTAGACATAAATATGAAAAAGTATTTAGCATAAATAATGACATGTTTACTTGGAATTGGGGAGAGAATGAATGGGCCCGAGATCATTTTCCCCTAATCAATCTAAGTAAACACATGAAAATTTAGGAGTATTTACCTACATTTTCTTATTAAATTAAGATTTTTTTTAGGAGAACAACTAAAAATGTATTTAAGGGCATTATCTCCCATTCTTTATGGGAAGTTCTCTCATATTCCTTAACTTAACGTTGTAATGAGGTTCGCAATATGGTATAGCTTAGTTGGTTAAGCTCTTTTGCCTTCATCTATGTGGGTAAAGGTTTGAAACCCCAAAACAACCAATGAATATTTGTGTAAAATCTCCCTCCATCAATCACTTGTACTTATTTTAAAAAAAAACTGTTGTCATGAGGTTGTCCATTGTATTGTTCAATTTGCTCTCTCTTGTGACATTGTCATTTATCGGGTTACACAACCTCCTGAATTTAATCATAGGAGATTCACTATTATACCAAATATACAAATATAGGAGCCCAAATTATAAAAAAAAAACTCTATATGAAATGAATTTTAGAAACACACCAAAAACCCATTTACAACATAACAAAAAGGCTCTTAACTTCTTTTAAATTGCAAAATTGCCATTGATTTCTTAAAACGAACCCAACCCCAAAACTTTATAAAAAAAAAAAGCCCAAAACACTCAATAGGGCATCAAAGTAATTTAATAATCAAAATTAAATTTAATAGGGCAAGTTGTCATTTTTGGGCTTTTTTGGGTGTGTTTATAGAAATTAAATGGTGTAGGGTTTATCTATATTATTAGTGTTAAGAATGGGTATATGACTAAATATCTCTTTAATCATGGTGTTTTTATTGATTGTAACTCTTTTTAATTATTAATACAATATCATTCTTAAGAAATGATATAATTTATTCTTTTCTAGACACATGGATGAATTTGTCCAGAGTTAAAAAATAAGCATATATATTTAGTGAGGTCTCTCAACATCCGAGGAAGATGGAACCATGAAAGTGCTATGGGTAATTTGGTCAATCTCATTCTCCCATCAAAAAAATTTCGGGGGGGAAACCTTGTTTTTTCAAAAAATACTCGGCGGGTGAAATGTTGGTTTCCCGCTCTGCTATTTTCTTCTAAAATATTTGAAGGCAGACAAAACAAAACGGCTCAGGTTTCAAAATGACCAAAGCATCCCCACAATTTGGTCTTGTTGTGGCTTGGAGGAAAGCAGACTCTGGGCCCATCCAACAACCCAAACTTGAAAGAGTAAAATTGCTTCAGTTGCTAAGACCATCTCCAGTCATAGCGCTAAATGTAGTCCAAGACTAAATATTTAGCCCTCTAAAATATTAAATTTTTTAAGAGTAGTACACGGCTAAATTTTTCCATCTCTAGCCATATATGGCTATATTTTAGGGTCCTTCATATTTTATTATTTTGAGGAAAAAATATGGTACAACACTCATACATTCTACAACTATATATTGTTTAATTAAATTAAATTACTATTTAAAGACAATATTTCATATATGACACGTATGACCAAGAGTTTTTTATATTTTTTTTAACAACACTTGAAAACACTTAAAAAGGTGACCATATTTATAAAAAAAAAAAAAAAGGGTTTCAATGGTTTGACCTCCAATGGTCATGACCAATAATTTTTTATAATTTTTTTTAAACAACACTTGAAAACACCACATTTATTAATATTAATATTTTTTTTTATAAAAAAAGATGGGAATGGGTTTCAATGGTCTGACCTCAACGGTCATGACCGAATTTTATACTTTTGTCTTCAGCAACATGAATTGAAATAGAGGCTGTTAAAATATATATCTAGCTATGACATTAGCTTGCTTTATTGTTGGATGTTAAAAAGTAAATGCATGGGGCCCACAAAGATGAGTTTTGCATTATTTTTGGGCTATTTTTGGGATATAGCCCATGGCTGGAGATGGCCTAAAATCCGTGGCTTATAAACTGAGCACTACATATAACAGACTTGCGGTGTGGGCAAAATGAGATGCAAAAATGTGGTAAAGTGGGTCACTTTAACTTCCAGGGAACAATATGAGATTTGACCATATTTTCAAGGAACACTAGTGTAATTAAGCCTAATATATATAAACTGATAGAAAAGAGTAACTTCCTTCTTGGGATCACACTAAAAAAAAGTCAGCAATAGTTTCCCTTTTTTTTTTTTTGGACTATTGGCAGCAACAGTTGCCTTGTTGGTGAGTAAGCCCTATAAGAGCATCTCCAACCGATATGTCAAAAGTGCCACATAGACATTTAACAGCTAGAAATAACATCTCACACACTCCAACCGATGTGTCAAAGCTGATGTGGAATGAAGGCTGAAGATTGAGATGTTATTTTTGACATCCCAAAAGCAAGATGTCAAATGAATATTTTATTATTTTTTCTTTTCTATTATTTTTAATAAAAAATAAATCAACACTAAAATATAATAAAATAATAATTTAATTTGACATATCGGGTGGAGTGTAAAGCTGTGTAAGATGTCAAATTGCCACATCAGACATCAAATTTAAATTTGATGTTTGGTATTTGACATCTCCCTTGGAGATGCTCTAATAATGCTGAAGTTACGAATTTTTTGTTGGTGATATATGAAGATGTGTGACTATTGTCCTTTCTCACGATTCTAACAGCTTCGTGACAAATTTTAGTTGACTGTCAACTGCCTCTGAAGTGCATCCATAACACGTCGAATCAATTTTAGCATTATATTTTAATATATTTAAAGTTTTACTTAAATCTTTATTTGTGTATTAAATTTGTATTTGATATATTTCTTTTTCTGTTTTTTATTTGGTGTATCTCTTCCTTTTCATTTTCCAGTAATTAACTAATAAATATACAATAATTGAATAATAATATATATACGTATAATCACTGCCATTCAATACACAAAGAAACAATTCAATAATTATATCATTTGATTGCAATTTTCAACCAAAAAAATCATTACGATTCTCTAATTGATTAATTTCAATTTATATATGGTATTAAAGCATAATCCAAGTCAATTTTCAACCAAAAAAATTAATTACAATTCTCTAATCGTGAGTGTTGTATGTATGGGCAGTGTAAGAGAGCCATTAAATAAAACATAGAAGAAGGAAAAAACGAACTTGTGTTTTCTTTTTGCTTATTAAAAGCCTTAGTCTTTTAAAAATAATAATAAAACTTTAATTTGAATTGTTTAATATAAAAGCACACCGCGCGCGAATGTTGAAAACTAAAGGTGGGAGTCATTATTATGAGTTGTATTTGGGAAGTTAAATGTGTATTGGAAACTTGAAAAACTGTATTGGGAACTTATTTATGAGTTGTAATCTACCCAATAAAATATTTTCTTGTTGGGGTTGTGCAAAACTGAGATTCTGTTCTGTCCGTCTCACAACCATTACAAAACTGTTGCATATTAGCAATGTTACTGGCACTGCCATGTAAAAACTACATCAAAGCCAAGAATTTTAATCTACAAAAATTCAGGATTTCACTCATCAGTTTCAAGTAGTTCTTCTAATCTACCCAATAAAACTACAGATACATGTAAGAATCTGTGCTAACGAAATCGATACCTGCAAAAAATTTCATGACTATTGTATTGCTAACATTTGTTGTTGCAGCTGATGCTAAAGAACTTGTAAATTTACTGCACAGATGCATTCTATTGAGAAAGAAGCACTTAAAAAGGAGTGGACTTGCATTTTCATTGTCACAGGCAACTCTCTCTGCACAAAGAAAGCATCTGATCCCAGTCCTTCTTTTTCCCTCCACTCAAAAACCCATCCTTGGAATTACTTTAGCTTCTGTGGGCTACTCAAAATCTGAGCCTTTCTTGGCTTGGCATTGTTTATCTCCACCTGCTTCCATATCCTGTCATTTGGAAACATGAATTTCCAGAGATTGTATATCCATAACAACATTTAACTTCAATTTCTGCTCTCCAACATAAGCAGACAGTCACTAACAGGAAAAGAAAAAGATGAATAGGAGACGAAATTGAAAATCCTTCTTTCATTTCATTTTTCTCTCAAAAACACAAGAAGTATCAGATTCTTAATGGATCACACAGAGCACCCATATTTCCTTTGAAACACAACAAAATTCAAAATTCATTCAAAATTCGATCTTCTTGCCTTGCTATACATGCACAGTCATATGACTTCACTTCAATGCCTCCAGAATCAACTTAGCCTTATCGCTCATCAACTTAGCCTTATCTCTCATCAACTCACTCTTTCTAACAAGAAGCTCCAATTCAGTAACATTCAGCTTCTTCCACTCCTCATTCAACTCAGTTCGTTTGGGTTCTCCAATCAACTCCAAGCAACCCTCCAGCAACCTCTGCTCTCTCAAACCCTCACACGTCTCATTACACTTATACTCTTCAGACAACCCACCTACCGCAAATGACCCTTCGCCCCTGCCCCATACCTTCTTAGACAAGTTAAAGACCTTTAGCTCATGAGGCTTAACAGGATTATACTTCTTCCCTTTGTCCACATTGGTCTCGTACTTCTTCTTGAGCCTACGAATTTTGTCTTGTAATTGGGTCTTGTTCACATCGGCCTTCAGCGATTTCTTCATAAAATCATGAAACGCAAACATATCAGCATTTGGGTGCACCCCTTGCTTGGTATAGTAATCAATCATACCTTCCAAGATCTTTATCTCATCATCATCGCTCCAAATCCTCTGTAGCAGGAGCAGCTTCTTCGAGTCGTCTCCACCGGCTCCGGCATGGTCTGGCTTCTGATCCGAGTCTGAGATCTTCTTCTTCTTGGGCCTCTTGGAATCCGTGGGGTCGCTCTCGCTTGGCCGCTTCGACCCGGCCCTTGCCGCCGGCGTAGTAGTAGCCGAGGCCTTCGATCTAGGCTTTTTGGTCTTGGGCGTCTCTTCCATAGCCGAGTCCGGTTTCTTCTCAGCAAGTGCAGGCTCAGGCTCCTCAGACTCGGATCCGGATTCTTCCTCTTCTTCTTCGGAGCCAGGGGATGAAGACTGCGGCACCGTAGCCAAGTCCGGATTCTTTGGTGGTGGTTTCTTCTCAGCAACAGGAGTGGGTGCTGTTGGAGGCTCGGGTTCGGATTCGGGCTCGGATCCGGATTCTTCCTCTTCTTCTCCGTCTACTTCTTCTTCGGACGAGGCTTCCACTTCTTCCGGAGGCTCATCCTGAGAAGATGGGCGGTTGGGTGCCATTGGAGAAAAGAAATAGTGAGAGGGTTTTGCGAAATTACGGTTATGAAAGTGGGGTTGTGTGCACGAAGGAGTAAAGAGGGGCTCCTTGATATATAGGGTTTTTCTTTAAAGGCAGAACTATTTTATTTTTAATTTTAATGGCATTTGGGTATATTTAAGTGAGTTTTTTTATTCTATTTGAAATAATTTATAAAAACTGAGAATATAGGTTTTTCACTAAACCCTAAACCTTTAGAGCATCCGCAATAGTTGGTAAAAAAACAGTTCATTTTGGTTTAGTTTAATAGTTCAATTTATTGAACTTTTTTGGTAGCTATTGAATTGAATTATAGTTTCATTTGCATTGGTGCCAATTTTTAAATGATTGAATAAAATAAAATGAATAAATTTAATTATGATAAGAATTATACAACTGAAATGGTTTCAAAGAGATCTTTAAAAAGAGACCAATTTTGAATATAAAAAAATTAATAACAAAACTTTCTATTGAAAATTTCAACATAAACAATTTTTTTTGGGTGTAGGAAGTTGTGGGAGAGTAGTTTTCTACATATGCATTTATATTATATAGGTAAATAACTAGCCGTTTGAAAAGGAAACTAGTCAATTGTGTTATTGAAAAGTAAAATAAATTAGGAATGACTAGTATATATAATTAGCTATCCATTTTTTATTTTTTTGAAAAGTGAAACAAATCAGTAATGGCTAGTATATATATTAACTAGATGTTTAATTTTTTTTAAATAGTGAAATTCATCAGAAACGGCAAGTTGCTTTGAAAAAAAAAAAAGTAACGGCAAATTTACACTAATTAAATGTAATGGAAAAATTTAAAAGTAAAAAGTAACGTTGTCCATATGTTAGGCCTAGTTTGGGATTGCTGCCGCTTTAAAAAAAAGTTGCTTCTGCTGTGCTTTAAAAAGAATCAGCTGTAAAGTAAAGCAGTTAAACGTTTGGTAAACTGTAATTTTAAAAGTGCTGTGAGTATAAAAAGCAGTGTCAGAGCGTTTGGTAAATTTTACCGTAAAAGTGTTGTAACTATTTATAATGACTAAAATGGACATGATGCTGAAAGTGCTTTTTACTAATCTGTTTGGTAAAAAATAAAACTGTAAAGTGCTTTTATACTTTTCTCCCTAAAAATTATATTAATCTTTGCTTAAAGAAAAGAAAAATTCAAATTGAATAAATTCCAACAAAGATAATTATGTATTGAATAAATTCCAACAAAGATAAAGAGATCACCACGGTAGTAGGTTCATACATCATCCTTCATATTGAATGAGTAATAAATATTTTTTTTGACAAATCCTTTGTCCTAATAAGGTTTGAATTGTAGCAATAAAAAAAAAACATTGAAACTAGGCTTAAATAAATGGAAATAAAGAAACTGTTTAAGAAGATGCATGCATTAAACTTGCAGCAATCTTGTTCCTTAATGTTTCTAGTTCTTGTGCTCCAGGCCCTTGAGTAATATGATATTCTTCTTGTGCATCACCCTCTATCTCCATTGCATTTGGGTTGTCATTCACTTTGTCAAAATGAATATCACATTGGGCGTGCCTCCTTATATAGTTGTGAAGTGCCACAGTTGCAATTACTATCTTCACTTGCTTATCGAATGGATAGTTGGGTATGTCTCGTAAAATACTCCACTTTACACCAAAAGTGCGTTCAATGACACTCCTAAGGGAAGAGTGTACGTGATTAAATACTTCTCTAGAACCTGTTGGTTGAGTACCCCTACGAAAATCTGGAAGATGATATCTTTCACCTTTATATGGTCCCAAATACCCGCTCATTTGTGGGTAACCCGCATCCACAAGATAATATTTTCCTGTAACCAGTAAGATATGTTTAATTATAATATAATTTGAAAGTGCGCAAATTTGAAGTTTAATGATATGCACATATTTGAAACATTACCATTTGGAGGTTTGGGAAAATTTAAAGCATTATTTCGTAACGCTGATAAAAATACTCTTATATCGTGTGCAGTGCCTTCCCAACCTGCACATGCAAATATGAATTGCATGTCAAAATTACAAGCAGCCATTATGTTTTGAGTCGGTATTCCTTTCTTGCCAATATATGGTACTTGATCTTCAGGAGGTATTGAGGCTTTAACATGTACGCCATCTATAGCACCAATGCAATCCTGCAAACAAGAAGAGAAATATTTCAATAAATATTACTTTGTTCGTAAAACAAACGATAAATTGTTGTACCTAATTTTTACCTTAAAATGGGGCATATATCTTGAATCTCTCAATATCTTTTCTGGGACTCCCTTAAACTCAGGATCCAACAGTTTTATGATATCAACAGCCATAAGGCATACAATATCAAGTAATTTGCCAAAGTATCTACTCACAGTTTCACCAGAATGTTGAAATCGTTCTTGTGCTAGCCTATTCCCTATACCATGTCCTAGAATGTGCACAAACATTCCCAACATCTCAGCAGCGCACATTCTCCTAGCTTCCCCACTTTTGTAGCAACTCTATTTCCGTTCTTCTCTTTCTTAACCTGTGTATCAAGTTGTTGATTTGTTCTCTTTTTCCCCTTCCCACAAGATTTTTCAGTAACTTGAATTGTTTCATCTGGTACGTATACGGGATCATCAAAATCATCACCACTGTCGAGTAGAATACCATCACATTCAGATGAATCATGGGTTGGAAGTACACCAGATGAAGGTGCCCAAGCATGGTCACTAGTGGCGGTGGTGTTCATGAACATTCTATCAAACTTCTCTTCCATATCAGGACTAATACCCTTTCTACGTAATTTTGCATATTTGGGATTTATCTACAAATCAAAGAGAACAACATTAAAAACTATTACAGATGTTTCATTGAATTATAATAAACAAACAACATTAAAAAATATTAATAACATACCTCAATTTTGTTATGCCACCATTCATCAGAAGCATCAATAGTCCCAAGTTTGGAATTCCACCCAAGACCAGTTTCTTTTCCAATTAGTTCTTTCCATATTTCCATTGTTCCTTAAGTGCATCCCACTTATTTTTCAATTGTGATTTATCATACTCGGCTCCTGTCTCTTTACTCAAGCTAATCCTTACATTTTCCCATCCTTCTTTCTTAAAGTGAGTACCAAGACGATTACCTGCCTCCAACTCCTTGATACACATGTCACAAAATATAGTTGTATTCTGATTATTCCATACAGCCGGAACTCGTGATCCACTAGCCACATTATTATTCTTCACCATCTGTGCATGTCCTTATATAAATATGTATGTATTGGGAGATGAACATGTTATAGCAAATAATGTTTTTACTAAAAACATGCATAGTGTCTAAGATTAATGGAAGTCAAAGAAATAAATGTTTGCAGCAAAACTAGTTTATCATAAAGGGAATTAAAAGAAAAATGGAGCTTGTCGTTGGGTGATGATATCAAGTTTATTATCAAGTTAGAGGAGATATGCATTGTGGACCCATCACAACTCAACCACAATGAGGAGATATGCATTGTGGACTGCACCTAGAATAAAACCACCATACTAGCTATGAGACCCATCACGATAAACTCTCAAGAAAATAAAAATAACAGATCATATGGGTCTTCAATGGTGGATAATAAAAATAGATTATTATAAATAAACCCAATCCTAGACATGTATTTATAAAAAAACCCACACACTATTTAAACATAGAAACACACCCAAAATCAACAATTGTATATTTTTTGGGTGTGTTTATAAATGGGTTTTGAGTGTGTAATGATGGGTTTTGGGTGTGTTTATAAAGTGTTTTGGGTGTTGGGTTTTTTTATAATTTCAACCCCCATTTTGGGTGTTTTAGTGAAACCCCCTAATAAAAATACCAGCTATGGGTCTTCAATGGTGTCCACACGGAAACTTCCTGGCATGGGCACCTTCATGCTTGAAGAAACCATGGACAACCAATAGAAAAAATCTAGACGTATATAAAACCATGGACGTATATAAAACCAGTAGAAACCATGGACAACCAGTAGAAAAAAAAAAAGAAAAAGAAAAAAGAAGAGCAGCATGTATATAAAAAGTTTGAGAGATTGAAGAGATTGAAAAATCTACCTTGTGAAATAGATTGAGAGAGATTGAGTGAATGGTTGTCTGCAGATTGAGCGAATGATTGGGAGGCTACGTGAAGAAACTTGGGAGGCTACGTGAAGATGAACTTTGGTGTTTGCAGATTTGAGAGAAATACGTGAGGATAGATTTCTAACCTAATAAGGGTATTTGTGGAATTGCGAAAATGTTATTAAAGGGAGCGCGCTGCTTCAATTGAAAGCAGCTTTAAAAAGCAACCATAAGGTTGCTTTTAAAAGCTGCTGTCAAAAGACTATTGCTTTTAAAATAAGCAGGATATTTTTAGTTTTACAAAATACCTTAAACTGCTTAACTTTAAAGTTAAGTAGGTTTTTGGCGGAAAAAAACAATCTCAAACGGGGCCTTAATAAGAGAGAGGCTGTCCATATGTATTGAAATGAATTTCATTTCAGAGTTCATTTTATTTACTTTTGAAATGAATTATTGATTCCCGAAATGAAATATTGATCTCTAAACTGAACTAAACTTTACCACTGCAAGTTAAAAATTCAATTTATTGAAATAAAATTCAAATGATTCTCACCATTGCGAATGCTCCTATTGATAAATGTCTCTCGTTTATAGGAAAACCCTTGAGATTCCTTCTTTCTTTGCAATCCATTTTCCTTGATACGAGGGAAATTTATTTCCTCAACTTGCACCGCAGATTCACGTACCATATTTCAGTACAATATTGGCCTTGAATTTGGTGCGTCACAATATTTACTGTAAAATAAATAAATAATATATTTCTTTTTTTAATACAAATTAACCATAAAACTTCTTAATTATCTTATACTTCTCTCCCTTAAATCTTGTAGGTTACTAGGTTACTTCTTTTTTCATGTCTGAGTTGGGTACCTTAATGTTGGAATATAAATTATTAACTTTATAGTCTTTAACAGTGTAGATGATAAGATTAGTATTCAACAATTTTAAAATATGACATTCAAGAAAATTATGATGGTATATATTACTAATCAATATAAAATGATATTATGAAGTGGGCCAAAACAAGTAGTTAGTGTAGTAACAACTTATTAACTGGTTAGTGCTTGAGTGCTCGTATTTAAATTATTTTTTAAAATTTTGTATAGGGACCCTTTTAATGTGAAACCTGACTTTGCCACTGTACGAATGTTGCATTGCAGCAGATCCCCAACCATTCGAAGAGCATGGAATTTCAATTTTACATGTATGTATATATTACTATCAACACTAATTATCCACAAAATATATACACACATGTAAGGCTGCAAACAAGAAAACGGCAAAGATTCATCTCTCTATACATCAATATCTTTAAATTCATTATTTATATAAACGATGTGATCATCCTTAATATCTCCAGTCACTTTGGTTAACTTACTATCCCCGCCAATTGTGAAACATCCATAAAGAACGCTAACACTGCTGCAAAGATACTAGTTGTAACCGTGCTCTTTAAAGGAACGTGGGTGTTTTTATTAAGGTCTGCATGATGGCATACCAAAAGAGCAGCTGGACATATCTCATTTAATCTCAATGTATGTGTTATAGTTTCAACCTAATTGCTCACGTGTGTGTAGACCATTCGACTTGCTAGGGTTGCAAGAATGGCATCATACCTAAGATTGAAACCGACTCAGCCTTATGGCATGTTTATTAATCCGTAATTGGATTAGGATGAATTGAATTGAGGAGGGAGTTGAATTGAGGAGAATTAGATTCCGGATTCCTATTTAAGTTGTTTACTAAACCATATGGATTGAGGAGAGTTAGATTCCAGATTCCTATTGAAGTTGTTTACTAAACCATATGGAATTAGGATAGGAGTGGTACTAATCACTAAAATGTCCTTGTTGTTGGGTTAAAGTAGAATGATAAATTTGAAAATTTGAAAATTGTGTGAGGATATAATGGGTAAAAAAGATGAATTCCTACTGAGTTAGTTTTCCAGGAATTAGAATACTACCTCACACTCAGAGAATTGAATTCCTCAAAAATCAAGAATTCAATTCCTAATTTTGTGTTGGCCCTACTTACTTTTTAATTCCTAGATGTGAAGTAAACGCACGAATTCTCCATAGGTGGAATTCAATTCCTAATTGGTAAACACACCATGAATCTATTGTGATTCTTATTTTTTTTAGCAAATTTAGCCCATATAATTTGAGAAGAATTTGAAAGCAGCATATAACCTCAAAATGCTTTGAATTTGGAAAAGTATTTTTTTGTCTGTCTAACTTATTAAGCATCATGATTTTTCTTCTCAATCCATAACGAGATTGTGTCACCACCATTATTACTTACAAAGCTGTTCCACGATAATACTTACTGTGACGTAAAAACTAAATCAAAGCCGAGAATTTTTGTTCACTACTAATGTCACAAGATGATTCTCAACCTCATTTGATCTGCTTTCCTAAAGAGAGAAAATTTATGTATTTCACTCAATTTCAAGTAGTTCCAATCTAATTTACCCAATAAAACCTATCAAATTTGAGCAGCAATTTCAAAGCAGGAAAAGGAGAAGGTGGTAAGTTGTTAAAGAGGGAAGAGCAAAGAAATAGATACAGGTAAGAATCTGATAGATCACATCTCCATCACAATCGTAACCTTACAGATTATAGTCATAGACTCATAGCCTTCTTCCCACACTTTCTAGGGAAAAGATACTGAAACAACACATGAATGGTTTATTAAAGCAACTTAGGCTGTGCAAAACATACAATTATTGACTTTGTGGTTGTAGTCTGCATGTTGGACAATACCACTTTCCCTTGAATCTTGTCTCTGGTGTCAGCCCAACACATGCATAATGGAACCATTCGCCTCCTTGGCACTGTCAATTAGTAAAAATGGCACATGATAAAAGAACAAATATGTAAGTAGCAAATTGCACTAGAGTAACTTTGTCTACTTTATTTTTCTACAGCCAATGACACCCAATAAGCTAGAGTATTGAGAAACTGTTACGGCCTTTGTAGTCAAACAAGGTTATGCAATAAGAAAACACCACAATATTCTCACCAGTTACAAGTCCTAAACATATGAAGTGGTTCCATAGTAAGCTGATGTGGATTTACTTAACATTTTCAACTTCAAGCATGTAGAAAGTGATAACAAAGATACTGTTAACCATAAAACAAAAAAGATGAGCTATACGCTGTTATAACCATGAGCCTGATCTACAATCCCCACCTCAAAGGGAGGGGGGTGTGCGAATTTTCAGGTTTCTATGCCCTATGATCCTTCAAGAGTTCAAGAGTGCATGTGAATTGTAACCCATTCATTTGTGCTATTATGTATGCACAAAACTCAAAGTTTCTTTTAATTTACACTGTTAGAAGGAAAAATATTGAGAAAACAAATGCAGAAGATCCTACTATAAATATTCTGTAAGAGATTTAACGCTGATCAATTTAACATGCAAATACTATGAGCACTGTCATAAAAAAATCTCATGACTAATGCTAATATTTGTTTTTATAGCTGGGGCAAACGAACTTCTAAATTTAATGTACAGATGAATTCTATTCAGAAAGAAGCATAAAAGATAATTAATTAGGTAATCAGAAGGGAAAGAAAAAGACATAAAGAATGAACCAAAAGGACTTACATTTTCATTGTCACAGGCAATCATATCTCCAAAAGAGACCTGAAGAATCGTGATAATTCCTTTAGTTCAAAACATTTAAACTGAAGAAAGTGTAAAAGTAATGTGCACTAGTAGCTTAAACTGAAAATAACAAAGATGTAACAAAAAGGCAGAACCTGATGGCAAACGCAGTAGGTAGGTTCATTTGGATCAATGGGTTGCTCAACATCAACAGGAGCATATTCCTTTTTATGGCTTCCTGGGGGAGGCATGAGTTCAAAGTCCCTATCGCGCTCTCGATCCCAGTCCCTATCCCTATAATCAAGCCTTTTTGATTGAGGTGTTACATAAACAGCCTTGCGCTTTTCATTTTTAGGGGCTATAGGTAATGGAGGAAGAACTGCTGGTTCATCGGGTGGTATTTTTCCTTCTGAGAGAATAGAAAGCAGATAATAAGATAAATAAGTAGTTAATAAATTTTCTCACTCATTGGTTTCAAGATGTGCACCCTCAAAACAAACAGAAATGCCTGAACTGGCTGATATAGTTTATGGCTAGTAAAATGAAGGTAGGACTTCCTTGATGGTTTTCCAAATGGCAGAGAGAATAGAAAGCAGATAATAAGATAAATAAGTAGTTAATAAATTTTCTCACTCATTGGTTTCAAGACGTGCACCCTCAAAACAAACAGAAATGCCTGAACTGGCTGATATAGTTTATGGCTAGTAAAATGAAGGTAGGGCTTCCTTGATGGTTTTCCAAATGGCAGAACTCATCTACTAAGTATAGGCGAGCAGAAAGTATGGCTTAGTAGAGTCAAATGAGTTGAGCTTTGATTTTGTTAACTTTCCTACTTTTTTCTTCGTCCATGGCCTATTACCTTCAAGTGGCCTAACTAACTGGAATATAACTAAAAGTACTTTTGTTCCAGAATTCATTGAATGGTTTCTAATCCTTCAAAATATAGTATGGACTATTGGGACAACAGTAGACTTTCACAAAGTCATGTACCTTGCTTTAAATCTTCTGCAAAGTGATTCAGATCCTCGTCAAGTCGTTTTACATGACTATCTATCTGATGCAAACACAACATGTAGAATTTCTGTAAGTTCCAATCATAAAAGATTCAAAAATTCCCAAGGCATTTGAAGCCATAAAATAAGGAAAAAATACAGGGAGAGTAGGTATACTACATTTACAATCTAAAACATATAAAAATTAATATGCCTCAAGGCTTATGCCTAACCTTGCAAGACTGAAATGGCTCACATACGAAGAAAAGAATTGAACTATTAATTTGAAAAAGTGGTGCTACATACTCCCATCTAGGATGCATTGTCATGTTCTCTCGTGGAGCATTAATTGTTACAGAGAAGAATCTAGCAACACATTAAGTGAATTTTAACAAAAACTTATGTTTGAAAGGCTTGTTCATTCAAGAATGGGGTGATACCCTACTGGTTCTTCAAACTTACTATTAGTTGAATGGTAATCAAGCTTATGTCATACCATTTGAAACTAGCTCATGATATCCGCTTATGTCAGCGACAATACCAGATAATAGGACCTTTCAACTAAGCAAGGCACTATACGAAATTCCTCAAGTAAATCATTCTCTACATTAGGATAAAGCAATCCCAGAAAGCTCCACCAAAAATGTGAATTATCCAATTTAAATAACAACTCGTTTGGCAGTTAAATTATGTGTCCAAGAACAGAAACTGACTACTATGAACTGGCATTTCATAAAAAATGCAATTAAAAACCCATAATAGAATTCCACCAATTATGGCAAAAAATAAAAAAGTAACAGATGAAGCATAATATTTGAGCACCCCATTGAATAACTTGATAGAATTCAAGGAAACCCATCAGACAATATGGTTAAAAGAGAAGCTTACCAGGTCATAAGCTTGTTGCGCCAACAAAACCTTCTCAGTACATAGACTCAATGCATTATCTTGATTTGCTTCGACTTCTTTTCGGATTTTCTCAATTGCCGCTTCATCTTCTTCATTGTTATTATAGTTATGGTTATTGTTCCATTTCCTTGAGCTCTGTGAAGACAATCCCAAACAGTACTTAGTCTGCTGCCTCGTCTGGTGTATCATGGCTTATTTGCAAACACAATAATTTATCAACTTATCAGAATTTTCAATCGTACAGCTCTAAAAATAAAAACCCTAAAAATTAGAAAAAGAAAGGTGTAGAATTGAAGAAGAGTAGAGTTACATTGGGAGCGTTCGTCGAGTTCTCGGATGGTGTTGAGGAGCCTCTGGAGCTCAGCAGGCAATGTGCTTGCGTCTTTGAAAACCCAAATGCAAATTCAAATTCATACGAAATTCAGTTCAAACTAATTTTAGTAGAAAAATATAAATAATTACAAGTCCAATTAAATTATCGAATACATCTTACATTCAAGATAGTCGTCGACGTACACTCCAGTCCGTACAATTGCCATATCCGGAAGTTTGGGGATTTTTGCTATCTAGGGTTTCTCTGCTAATTCTTGTTCAACCGGACAATGCAGACAAGCGGCGTCGTTTAGCTTAAAACCTCAACATGGAAAGAAAAAAGAAAAGAAATAGTAAAGGGGCGGCGATCTTCGGTTTTTCTAATTTTTTTAAAAAGAAATTGTATAGCCGGGCGGCCATACTCGGTTTTCTAAATTTTTTAAAGAAATAGTATAGCCGGGCGGCTATACTCGGTTTGTTATCTGGCTAGTCTATCTATATATATAAAGCAACCCTAGAGCTTCTCTCTTTTGAGCTCAAATTATGTGGGTATGTTCCAGAAAACACTGAGGGAATCATACGAGTTTGATTGATACTTGTAGGTTATATGAAGATACAATACATTTTTGTAACTACTTGTCAAGCTCCAAAATATATATGTCTATATAAATCTTTTTTGGGATGTGAAATTAAACCATCATTGGTAGTCTGTCTTAATAGGATTAGCAAAGAAATCAGTACAGTTTAGTTTCGTGATTTTTGAAATTAACTGGGTTGGCCTTCTTAAAAAATATAAGTTGTGCAAATCAGGGAAACAGACCCACATAACGCACAAGAAGGTGACCTCAAGGAGGTGATAATGAATTCCTTCCTCACCCTTTTGACTTATCCTCCATCATAAACCACCAAACACGTTAATGCTTTGATTTGTTACAAGCCCACGCTATTAGGCTCGACAATGGTAATGTTCCGTATATCACAAAGGCTCCTTTTCCCCCTTCTCCTAAAAGTAGGAAACGCTTCACTCAGTGCAATTTAACTGGAAATGGTGCATGTTTTGTTTTGAGACTCTGATATTATTAAACGAAATGAACTTGACATCTACTCTGTCAGTTAAATAATTTTGGGAAATTAGCATATGCTCACAAAGTTGTCCTGGCTTTTGTAAACTTGCAAGCTTTTACCCGCTCTGGCATCAAGCTTTGAACTTTAACCTGAAGGTGTGTGCTGGCTAGGGAAGAGATGATATATTTACCTGAAAAAACCTGTGTTTGGGAAGAGACCTTGTATATGTCCTTAGCTAAGAAGTTTTTCTATTGTTGGTGAGTGAGTGACTGAAGCTGCAAGATGACCTGGTGTCAAGATCTATAAGAAATGATGGCATCCGCCAAAGTTTGGTTCTGTATATTCAAAAATCAATCTCTTTTCAATATCTGTATACCAAGAGTAAACCCCTAATTTTCTTACTCTTGTCGATATGAGCTGTCGTAGCGGGAGAGGCGTTTGATGGCATTTTTCTTTCAGTCTGAGAGGGGCAGAACTGACAAATTCTTACATCCTTGGGTGGTTTACCGTCTGTAGCATTTTCGTCCATTGCCATCAACCTATACTTATGCATAAACTAATATGCTTTAACAATGGTAGAGAGAGGACATCCATCTATAATCTGTTCCATCTGTTCCCTGCAAAAATTCCTAGGCTAAGAACTCCCAGTAACTAGAAACCAACTTTCTATATGCAACGCAAGCTTGTTTACCCCAGACTTGAGAAATCAAACTCACTGATGACCAGTGGCGGATCCAGGATTTGAAATCCGACTGGGCGAAACTTACATTAAAAACTTAAGGTTATGAGTGAATCTCATTAATAAACATAAAAATATACACCTAGTAGTGGGGATATAATGAGCCTTATTGAATCTCATTAATAAACATAAAAAAATCTCATTAATAAACATAAAAATATACACCTAGTAGTGGGGACATAATGAGCCTTATCCTCAAATGCATTTCTATATATAAATTAAAGTTTAGCAAAAAAAAACTATTCTTTTTCTTTAAAAAAATTTCCAACAAATTCTTTGTTTTCTTAGGGTTCGGATTGTGATCCGGCATAACAAAAGATAACCTATTTAATCCAACATCCCAACAAAAATCCAAATAAATTCTCATAATAACATCAATGCCTTTAATCAAACATTAACATACCAACAACAAATCAAAACATTTCAACAATACCAATATCAAATCAAACATCTCAACAAAATTCCAAAAATCAAAGAACTAATTAATTTCAACAAAGTCAGGAAATTATAATTCATTCTTAAGTAAACTCTAGAATAGATTAGAACACATAACTTCTAACCTATTTAAAATATATTAGATTCAATGTTGTCATATACAAAATCTTAACATTTTGGGGTAGGTAATTAAAGAGGAGATCAATTTTAGGTTATGCATACATGTGGGTTGCTTTTTGGGTGGGCATAGGTTTGTATGTTTCACATGTGTTGGCCTATTCTATATGGGTATTTTTTATTTTTGAAAATTTTGGGGTAGGCAGCAGCCTACCTTGCCCTAGGCGTAGGACCGCCCCTGCTGATGACCTTTTGCAAGCACTTCACTGTAAATGCATGACAGAGATTATTGAAAAAGACAGAGAGAATGTGTTTTCTCATTATATTTTTGTTTCCACGATTACAGAGGTATATATATGCATAAGCTGGGGTGGCCACTCTAGGGGCTGTCTACCAACACACACACGTGGTCAGTCTAGGGGCTGTCTGCCAACAGACACCAACCCTTAACTTTAACCCATAATTATAGAAAAACATTTAATTACAACACATCCCCTAAAATAAGGAAGTGAGACAACCACTAGCCAATCACAGCTAGCAGCCACCAAGCTAATCATAGGTAGCTAACGGTTACCAATCTTCCAATACTCCCCCTCAAGCTGGATCAAGGAGGTTAATTGATCCAAGCTTGGAGAGCAAACGTTGAAATTGAGTGGAAGCAAGAGACTTGGTGAAAACGTCAGCAAGTTGATCATGGCTTCGAGTGAATGTGGTTTGAATTACCTTGGCCTGAACTTGTTCACGAACATAGTGACAGTCAAGTTCAATGTGTTTGGTGCGTTCATGGAACACGGGATTGGAGGCAATATGCATAGCTGCCTGATTGTCACAAAAAAGAGACATAGGTTTGTTGCTTGAAAAACCCAAGTCTGAGATAAGGCCCTTGAGCCAAATGAGTTCACATGCAGTGGAAGCCATGGCTCTGTACTCTGCTTCGGCACTTGAGCAAGCAATTACATTTTGCTTTTTGCTCTTCCATGTCACGATGTTTCCTCCAACAAACGTGCAGTAGCTAGTAGTTGATTTTCTATCAATAGCATTCCCTGCCCAGTCAGCATCGGTGTATGCCATGATTTGAGTATGACCATTGTTCTTCATGATAATTCCTCGACCAATAGAGCCCTTGAGGTATCTTAGAATTCTTTTAACAAAATTTAAATGAGCCTCACTGGGTGCATGCATGAATTGGCTTACAAGACTGACGGCGTAAGTTATATCCGGTCTAGTAATGGTGAGATATATAAGCTTACCCACCAGTCTTTGGTAGTAAACTATATCACTGAGAGGCTATCCTTCCAAGTCTAACTTCAATTTGCTATCAAGAGGAGTACGAGCCGGTTTGCAATCCATCATCTTCACTTCTTGAAGCAAGTCAATCACATATTTCCGTTGACTTAAAAACATTCCCTTGGGAGAAGTAGCCATTTCAATCCCAAGGAAGTATTTTAACACTCCTAAGTCTTTAATGGCAAATTTCTGATGAAGAGAATGCTTAAGAGTGTTAATCTCATCAATATTATCACCTGTGATGATAATATCATCAACATAGATTAGAACAACTAGTTTACCAACTAATCCAGTTCGAACAAACAAGGATGAATCAGCATGACTTCTCTTGAAACCAATTTTTTCAAGTACTGAGCTCAGCTTGGCATACCAAGCATGTGGAGATTGTTTCAATCCATAAATTGACTTGTGAAGCTTGCAAACCATACCTGAATTCTGTGCTTGTGGATGACCAGGAGGCAATTGCATGTAAACTTCCTCTTCAAGGTCTCCATGCAAAAAGGCATTTTTTACATCCATTTGGTACAACGGCCACTCATGATTAACTGCAACAGATAACAAAACCCTCACTGTACTCATCTTAGCCACGGGAGCAAATGTCTCCTTATAATCAACTCCAAACGTTTGAGTGAAACCGCGAGCCACCAATCTTGCCTTGTGTCTTTCAATTGAGCCATCAGAATTAAACTTGGTTTTGTAGATCCACCTACTGCCTACCACCTTCTTTCCCTTTGGAAGTTGGACTACACTCCAGGTTTTATTTTCATCCAAAGCCTTGAGTTCTTCTTCCATGGCTAGCCTCCAAACATCTTGAAGATTGGCTTCTTGAAAATTCCTCGGTTCACTTTCATTTGACAGTTTACTGAGAAAAGCTGCATGGGAGGGAGAGACTTTGGAGTAATTTACATACTTGTGAATTGGGTACCTTGCATTGTACGTTACATAGTCTTGTAGCCTTGATGGTGGATGCCTATTTCGAGTTGGATTCCTTCGAGGTTGAGATGGGATTATAGTAGGTTCAGCTCCACTCTCCTCTATAGATGATGTGTCATTGTCATGAGGAACAACTTGTGCTTCTGAGGCTTCAGTTTCATCTCCAATAATCACGTTGTCATTAATGGTTGCATGAGAGTCATTGTCGTGAGGTACTGAATGAACACAATCACTTATTTCCCCTGAATTTGGTAATGGAAAGAGATCCAGTAATTGCTCCCCCTGACGATTTTGATCTGATGGTTTGTTGAAATAAGGTTTGATCTCATCAAACCTTACATCTCTTGAGACAAATAGCTTCCTGGAACATGGATTGTAACATTTGTAACCTTTTTGACTGGAGGAGTAACCCATGAAAACACATTTAACTGCCTTGGGATCCAGCTTGTCTCGGTGATGGGATTGAATATGAGCATAACACGTACATCCAAAGATTCTCAGATGGGAAAGGTTAATGTTTTTGTTTTGCATGACCTCATATGGTGATTTTGAATCCAGAACACGACTAGGCAGTCTGTTGATGGGGTAGGTGGCTGCAAGAACTCCTTGAGACCAAAACCTCTTAGGCACATTCATTTGTAACATTAGAGCCCTGGTTTCCTCAAGTAGGTCTCTATTCTTCCTTTCGGCAATTCCATTTTGCTGAGGAGTACCTACACAACTTGTTTGATGTATAATTCCATGCGTGCTCAAATAGTCAGTCATATTTTTGGATGTA